TTGTTCAGGGAGATGAACTGGAAGAGGCTGTTCAGCTGCACGCCCCCGCCCGCCAGCACCTTCAGCTCGGCCACGCCGTGGTTGTTGGCGTCCAGCAGCAAAGGAGCCTCGCCCGTCGCCGCAGCATTCCGCACCACCACCCCGACGGTGCCGTCGGTGGGCCCCACCGCGATCTGCTCCAGCAGTGGGCTGAGCACCTGCACGCCGCTGGTGCCGCCCGACAAACTTAGGAAGGGCAGCGACGCCTCAGAACTTTGGCCCCACCCTCCCGCCCGGGAACAGCCTGTGGCTTTACGAAGCACCACACGTTGTGCTGCTGCCTTGTGCTAAAGCACCCTGTAACTGTGGCTGCCAGCCTGGGCTCTCTCTTCGCGAAACTCGCGAGACACACTGCTTTGCAACCGGCGGCGCAGCCAAAAGACCGAGGTGAGGGAGCTTTCAAACATGTTCATCGATTCGGATCGCTGTCAACGGGAAGACAACAAACTCATCTATGGCCCCACGTCAACTGCAATAATTCGAAGTCGCGTCGTGAAGGCCCGGAGGCTCTTGACCCCGCAGCCTCGCAGCCATCAGCACCTCGTAATCCTCGTAGTGCAGATGTGACTGGCTCGAGGTCAGCCGAGTACAGCCACTGCCGGGATGCCCAGACTGAACCTCCTGGCCTTCAGAGCCAGTTGTTGGCTTGGATAAGTGTTGTCGAGAATTTGGGTAGTTGTCTAAATTAGGGTTCCATTTAGGGTCCTTTTTATAAGGGTGCCGTACTATATTGGGGACCTAAACTGGACCCTATTTAGAAAACTACAAATTTAGGCCTGCGTAGACGACGGGGAGTCGCTGCCCTCTTTGCCTCTTTGCTGGGTTTCCGGACACCTGTCGCTCCCAAGCACGATCCGCCTGGCCCCAACTTGCCGCAAGGCTTATAAAACCCCCTCAAACCCACCCATCCTGCTCTCCAGCCGCCGCTGGGACGCTCCCAGCTGTGGCTCAAGCGGAATTTTTTCGACGTTTTTCGAGCCATGAGCACAGGGACCAGGATTTACATGCGCGCCGGCGACGGCACTAAAGGCCGCATGGCCAGTTCAGGCTGTTCGAATGTTTAGGGTTTCGGTCAGGGCTTAACTTGGGCTTTCAGGTTTTGAACGAAGGATTCATGAATTTGTAACGGTTCGCATTTGTTGGTCATGTGCTCAAGATCCACTCAAAAAAACAAGAGTGATTTGGGTCTGTCTGTGTGCATGTGTGTGTGTGTGTGTGAAAAATTGCTTGGGAGACCAGCAAGCCCGTAGCCTGAATTGCAAGATGCTGTTTTTCCTCCGAGACCAGCCCAATGCGATCTGCAATCAGGACCCTTGAGAGATGTGGTGGAAAGACAGAGACTGGAAGGTTACATCCGATCGTACGGCGACTTCGACGATCTGTGGATGCCATGGAAGGTGTCACGTCCCACGTGTTCTTCAGTTTTCCATGGTTCCAACTAGGTCCGTTCGAGGGAGAAGCTGATTTTGTATGCGGTGTCTTTACCTCGACCCAGTGAAGATAAACATGGAAGCTTTGTATCCAAAGTGCTCAGAGTAATCCGAAGGCCGCCGATCTCCGACCCTTTGCCTTTGTGACCTTCAAGGAGTCTTCAGCCGCGCAGCGGTTTGTGGAGTGGTCTCCGCACAGGGTCCCAGAATCTGAGGTGGAGATCATTGCCAAGTTGGGGCATGGAGCCTCACAGAGCAGCGAGGTTTAGGGCTATGCCATGACGCCAGAGAGCTAAGCAACGAACCACTAAGCATGAAAACCTTGAACCCCCAAAGGCCCCAAGGTCTAAGCCGACGACTTCCTCGACCGTAAACCTTAACAGTAACCTTAAAACCTTAAGACCTAAACCAACAACCACATTGCTCGGCCGAGGAGCGAAGAAGGCGAAGGCGAATGGGAATTCATCCGCTTCCAATGGTCTGGAGGGAATGCTTCAGCCGTTGGAGGTCGATGAGGATGTGTCGTTGGAGACACTCGGGTCGCAGCGTGTATGTAGGACATGCTCAGATCACAGGCCAATGGAGTGACGACCGTGTCTCAAGAACAGCGAGTTTCCACGTGTTTTTCAACACACACCTGAACCTGGAAACTCTGAACCTCAAACCCTCAGTCCTGAGCCCCAAGCTCCAAGCCTTGTCCATGAGGAACTATCATGCGGCGTCGGAGCAGAAGAGAGACATCTTCACAAGTGTCCTTCCTGGTAACACAAGCTTTACATTTCGTTTTCCGAGATTCAGCCATTCCAAACAAGACAACGAGGCGAGGTTCGGAAAGCTTCTGGCAGGGGTTCTGTGAGAAGGGATCCTTAGAGACGAGGTGTGGGAAGCCTCTGGGCAACCACTCACAACCCTAAAGCCGTAAACGCTCATGTACTAAGCTCCTGACCCATCAAGCCTCAAATCTTAACCCCATCATTTAGGCAACTGCTCGGGGAGGAGCCCTTGAAGGAAGCATTAAAAGGAACCAATCCTAAACCCTAAACCCGTGAAGGAGACCCTGAAAGGGGAGCCCTTAAAGGAAGCCTTCAGCCCTAAAAGAAGCCCTTAAAGGAAGCCTTAAACCCTAATCCTTTAAAGGGAGTCGGTTTAGGGTTTAACCCTAAACCCTAAACCCGAAACCCAAAACCCTAAACCCAAAACCTCAAGAGCCGAGGCATCCTCAAGTCCCAAGATCCGTCTCACCAAGAGAAGCTGGCAAGATCCTCGCAGCTCATCAGGGGAAGAGAGGCCTGGCCCATAGTACTCCTAGTAACACTCGTAAGAATGGTAGTCATAGGTAATGGTGGTAATGCTGGTGATGATAGTAAGTTTATGATGATAGTAATAATAAGAGCACGCATCATAATAGTAGTTTAATGGGCATATCGGCCCGGATCAAGGCTCTGCAATATTCAGGAAGGGGTTTATAGGAGTTTAGGGCCTCAGGTCTTTGGGCTCACAGGGTTTGGGACCTTGTCGTTTAAGAGGTTCCCCTGCACTCCTTTTTTGGGAGCTTTCAGGGTTTTTGGGTTCTCATAGCCTTTTTCTCAAGAGTTTCGGGCGTGGAGGTCCGAAAGAGCAAGCCGCGTCTCCACCTCTTCTGTGGTCCGCCTGCAACTGGAAAGACTCTGGCCATGCGGGTTCTTGCGGCCGAAGGAGGACAGCTTGTCTTAAGATCTGTGAGCTGTTGCGGTTCCTTCAGGGGCAGAACAAGTTAAGGTTCTGTAAGGGATTCTTAGCAGGGCTATATAGTTTGAGGTTTCGGTTGTTGAAGTATAGCGGCTTGAAAAGCATTCCATGGTGGGCATAGAATTTGCACTGAAATTGCATCCTTGACAGCACAATTTCCATCACCATGAAGTTCAGCCGACGTATTTTTGGCACTTGCGACATCTCCCCTCTTCGCACAACGTCGTGGACGCAGCCCTGCTTGGCCATCAGTGCCGAAACGAAGATTTTGCCGGAGACGCTCGTGCTAAAGCCTCGACGAAGCTACGTGAGCCTCCATAGTGTCGAGATGTGTCGGACAGAGTATCGCAAGATGTGGTGCCCAGCAAGTTCATTTCCTCTCCCCTTGTTTCAGTGGCTCGGAATCCTCGAAACACCCAACCCTTAAACTACACCCCTAGACCACTCACCTACAAAGCCCTCAACTCCAAACCCCTACGACCCTCAACAAATTCTGCTTTGACAGGCCTCAAAGCATTCGTTCTGAAGCTGGGGGAGGTGGGATACGACACGCCGACGGCCTTTCAGGATTCATTGAAGGAGGTTGACAAGCCCTTCTGTTTGATTTCTGCACGTTGTTGTCTAAAAAATAAGTTAGATGCGTTTTAGCGTTTGAAGCACAAACAAATTTGCAAATCCTACATTGTGAAACTCCACTTGCAACAACGGGGACCCAGCATGTAGAGTTGTAACAAATGCAAGGACTATCCCGATTACTAGACTCTAAAACCCTAGACCCTAAACCCTAAACCCTAAACCCAAAACCCTAAACTCTAAACCTTAAACCCCGAAGTTTTCAAGTGGCCATCCGCAGAGGATGGCATCCGGGCCCGATGGGGTCGGGGTCGCGGTCTTTATCGACGAAGCAGAGCAAATCTTTAGCCGCCGACGCGACATGCAGAAAGCTTCAAGCGTGAAAGTGGAGGCGCCGAATGCGTGCTTAGGGTTTCGGATGGATCAGGGTCCCTAAACCCTAAACCCTAAACCCTAAACCCTCAGAAATGAGGGGTCAGATCCGAAAGTCTCAGCCCCTTAGACCCTCCACCTTAACTCGTAAACCTTAGCCTTAAACTTCTGCTGCCCAGAGCTGGGAAGCCGAAGGAGATTGTGAAAGAACCCAATGCCCTGAGCCCCAAAATTCAATACCGCGCAAAAAAGCCTGAACGGAACCTATTACAGGAACCCTTCTTAGAACCCTTAATGGAATCTTTAAAGAAGAAACCCTTATCCTAAACCCTAAACCCTAAACCCTAAACCCTAAACCCTAAACCCTAAACCCTAAACCCTAAACCCTAAACCCTAAACCTAACAAAGAGCCCCTTGAAGACTGAAGGGGAAGAAGGAGATCGTCAGGGCTTTCCTGGAGTGGACTGACGGCTTGCAGAGCAGACAGCGCGATGCCAAGCCGATCGTCATCGTCAATGCCCCAGAACCCATGCAGGGTATGTCTCATGAAGGGTATTATTTATAGGGCTCTATGCGGGGACAAGAATAGGGTTCTGTAAGGGTTGAGCAGGGGTACTATAAGTGCCAGGTTGTTGTGTGGTTCTATGAGGTTCTATGAGCTTCCAGCAGTAGCCTAGAGAAAAGACCGAGGTGATGGCCACCAACTTGCGAGACAGCATTGACGAGGCCGTGCAGAGCCGCGTGGGCAAAATCATCAACTTTTCAAGGCCGACCTTTGCGCAGTGCAAGCAGCATTTCGCAGCTAACGCGCAGCCTGGCCCTGGATTTGACGTAGTGTAGGAACCTGATTAAGAAACCCTGGGCCTTTATTAGGGTTCTTAGTATGAACCCTAATATATTGGGGTTATAGGGCCAGGGTTTCTTAATCAGGTTCATACAGTGGTTCTTGTTAGCTTCGATAAACGTACTTGTCAGCTACGCGCGAACCCGCTAGTAGGAGTACCCTTTCAAATCAAGGGATACTATTTTCAAGAAATCCCTAGCTGCTTTGCAGACGCTCGCTGAGGCCCAAAGTGAAGCGCTGGCACTGGCTGCTGGCCGTCTCCAGCCGACTTCTGTTCATGGACTTTCGGGAGTTAGAAGCGGTGCATGATCTCGTGTGCGAAGCTGCGTTCTTGTTGAGAAGTTTTTGGTCTAGCGTACCATAACAGGGAGATGCCCATTCATATTCGATACATATGATACAGATATGCATATATGGATATATTCACGTGCATATATTTCGCACACACACTTTCGATACATGCGCACTTGTATGTAACCCCCCAGATCATAAATCCCAAATTCTTGAACCCCTACCATGGTACCTTAAGTCCGGTTCCCATTTGCAACGAGAGCCAAGGAGCGGGATGCCGAGAAGCCAGTGCAGGGAGAAGTGACGGCCTTGTCGGATTCTGGGCTTGTCCAAGTCCCCGATAGTGCCTGTATGCTTCTTCAGGGTTTCCATGGGGAAATGGGGATTATATAAGAGCTCTATAGTGTTCTGTTCCAGCTTTCTAGTCCCAAAGTCATGGCAATCTAGGATTACCTTCCTGCGATCCGGTCCGTGTGGTTGCGGCGGAGCAGGGCAGGGTGGGAGTTGATGGATGTCCTGAGCCTGATCACTTGGAAGCTCCCATATTTCTCCTATCACTTGCGTGTGGTGAGACCTTGCTTGATTTGAGAAGACTTTCACTGACGCTGCACTTTTTGTACCGTCTGGAATCTGAGATCAAATCCATGAGCCATGTCAGGAGCCGGGAAGCAGACAGAGTCCGTCAGGGGTTGATGCAGCGAATCCCTTTGCGAGCCAGGCTTTAAGCCTTTGCGGCGTCTGCGTTCATCGATTATATCCCACGGCCCTAAAGGCCAACGGGGATCTGTGAAGGTTTAGTTGCAGGCTGTGGGGATGCTCGGTGCTATGTCTTGGGCCTTTCACCTTTGCATCTGGACAGCAGGGCCCTTATAAAAAAAGGAGTCTACTGGTAGCCGCGAGCAGTGTTCTCAGTGCGTTGGCTTCCCTTGGCATCGAGGGCATGATCGGGTTTCGGCAGGTGAGCGAAGAACATCCACTAAACCAGGACTAAGGGCCAACACCGACGTCATGCCACAGCTTCTGCACAATCCATGGCACCAGGTTGGCAGAGACATTGATGGGAACTGGCGTTTTGACTTGCGCTGACTTGCTAAACAGCATGTGTCACAGTGTTCAGCGGGTTTTGGCCTTCAGATGCAGTGTGGTCCAAGTCATTGAAAGGAGCAGCCTTTGGGTAGCATGAGCATCATGCTGACATGTGCAGAGATGTTTCGGTAGCAGCTGGGCTCAACCCCTTCTGCATCTGCATCCCCCCCCCGCTTGCAGCATGTCGACCACATCCTTTGACGTTGCTGAGGTGAGTCCAACGATGGAGCGAGCGAGGTGGGCATCTCCAAGGTGCACAAGGGATGTTGGACACCGGGTTATGGGGAAGTTTCTGCAGCAACAAAGTCTTACGGAAAGGCTCCAGGTTCTCTGTGAAACGGCCGAGCAATGCCGTGATGTTCTAGGTGTACGAAATGCTCGTCTGCTCGAACACTTACTTGCAGAAAACCTTCCTGGAGTTTCGTGAGCTTGTGCCGAAGTGTGAGGAAGACTTCAGTGATCACCAAATAGGGTATGATCAGTCCACAAGCCAGCAGGAGAGCAAGCCACGCAGTCGTCATCTCTGGGCAGAGCGTTTTGCCAACCTCTATTCTGTTTGGTGGTTGCTGAATGACAAAGTATCCAAAGATCTGCCCTATGTTCTCCTGACATGTTCTGCCCTGTTGGGATCTGCCAGCTTTAATAAGCTTCCTGGACCGTTTCTGGTATGTGCACTTGTGCCAGTGTGTGGTGTCGCCAGTGCCGCCATCTGGTCTCGCAAGATGTTGATGTTTGGGAAGCGTACAGACCTTGAGTGTGTGCAGCAGGAAGTGGCAGTCGGTGTCGCCGGGGAATAGAGCTCTCTCGATCATGCAGCGTCCGCTGCACCTACAGCCCCCAGATGTGTCTGGCATACCTTGGGTGTCCAGAGCTGAGGGTTCAAAGTCAATTCAGGCTTGTAGGATAACGGTCATTACTTCCGTACCATGTTCAAGTCAAGCGAGAAGGTCAAGGAGGTATGGCGTCCAGACTCGGCCAGGTGAAATTCTTCGCGGCAAACCTGGGCTAGTTTGGGATCACTCGACGGTGAAACAGCAGGCCGGATGCTGACGGGTGCATGTGAGTGCATCTCTTGCATGCTGAACTTCTTCAGCTTCGTCGAAGGGCATCGCTTTACCATGGACTGTTGTGTTTTGCTTTGTTTCATGCGGTCCCGCTCGGGTGTATTATGTTTTTGCCAGCTTTTTTCCCATGTCATGTCATGCTTGCACACAGGACTGTGACGCGATGTAGAAGTGTGTAGCCACCATATTAATATAGCCCATATGCAAGCCTGCATCCAAAGAAGCGGACATAAGCAGAGCTGCTGCATAACCAAGCTCGAGACAATGCCTCGGAGGAGCTGTTACGCTCTTGGTTCAGGAACTATTCCACTTTCGCAGGCCTGGCAGAGACCTTCTCGTAGATTCGGCTAGGCACCTAAAATCTCAGGATTTGATTGACTTCTGGCATTGCTTTTGCTCGCACTTGCTGTCCGATCTGACTGAGTGCAGCTGTTGGCTTTTCTCAGGGGTTAGTTGTAGCATTGGTAGCCTTCCTCGCAGAAGTATGCCGGAGTGCTTCCTCTTCGTGGGCAACCCCGGCGTAGGAAAGAGCACGATCTTGAACGGCCTCATCTCGGAACCGAGGTTCAAGTCCGGCTTCAGCCCTGGCCAGGGGATGACTTCGGTACTTCAATGCGAAGAAAAAGGCGGCAAGTTTTACATGGACACTCCGGGCTTAGCCGACGTGGAGAAGCGAAGGATTGCGGCGAAAGAGATCGAGAAGGCGCTGAAACAGGACGGCGACTACCGGATCTTCTTTGTGTTGACGCTGGAATCCGGGCGAGTGCGCCCACAGGACAAGGCCACCATGGAACTGGTGCTGCAGGCCGCGCCCTGCATAGGCCACAAGTACGGCATCCTCTTCAACAAAGTCAGCAAGCGGGCGCAGGAGGAGATAACGCAAAACCCCGCTCGTGCTGACCCTAGTCCGAGGGACGTCCTGCTGACGCACCTGTTCAGCGGCAACCTGCCCGTCACGACAGCGATTCACTACAACCCCAACGACGATGACCTGGAGGATGCTATGAATGTGGTGAAGCCATTGAGGCCCGAGCTGGTCCGGTTCATCCAAGGCCTGCCTGTGATTTGCATAAACTCCAGGAAGGTGAAGGCGATCGAAGCTGATCAACAGCGGCAGTTGGAATTGATGAAAGCAAAGAGGCGGAAGCTGCAAGAGATTCAAGAGAATCAGCAGAGGCTTCAAGTTGAACTCGCGCAAGCTCGGCAACAGCTGCACCGGTCAGGTGGTGGGGGGGGGAGACTGCTTCCCGGGTTCAGCAGTTCTTCAGACCTCGCAGGGGGCCCAAAGCACTGTCCGAGGTTCGCGTGGGGGACCGGGTGCTGTCTGTAGATCAGAGAGGCCGCATTTGCTTCGATGATGTCTACTTCTTTGGTCACGCAAGCCCGACAGAGACTGCAACATATCACTGCATTTGCACTGCCTCCGGCCGGATGCTGCGCGTCTCCAGCATGCACTTCGTGGCCTGTCCCCGCAGCACGACCTCCAGCTGGAAGGCGACCACCTTTGAGTATGCAAAGGACGTGTGTCCAGGGCATTGCGTTTGGGTGGAGGTCCGCGGCGAGCTTGTGGCGGAAGTCGTTACGACGGTATCCTGCAGCTTGGCTTTGGGGCTGTTCAATCCCTACACGCTCACAGGAACCTTAATTGTGGACGGAGTGGTGGCAAGTGCTCACAGCGACTGGCTGCTGGACGACTTTTGTCCACGGCGTTGTGTTGGCTGGCTACCGGCCACCTATCAAGCATTGTTTCTGCCAGGTAGGCTCTTGTACCGTGGGCTTGGAAGCATGGCTGCAGATGTCTTGGATGTGAACAACCCTCAAAACAACCATGAAAAGAAAGTTGGCACGTCTCCTCGAGCCTTCGCCTTCCTTCTTGCGCTTTCCGTGGTGCCGGTGGCCACCACGGGGGCCTTGCTACACCAGGTGCTATGAGATGGTAGCAGAGGCATGCAACTGATCGCCTGCATGCATGATGTGTGTGTGTTTGTGCATATAAAGCTGACAGAGTGAGTCGCACTCGAAAAACGGCTTTGCTCTTTTTTGCTTTAGGACGCTTCGCACGTCTTTCCGGAGTTGAGAAGTGCTGATAGGCTGCTGTGTCTTCTCCCTTGCTCAGGGACTTGGCTGCAGCGAGACCGAGACTACAGCGAGATCCGCCGAGAGTGGCACTCAGCTCGCCTGCATATCGGGGAGTGGCAGATGGGGAGTGGCAGATGCTCGCACTTGCTGTCCTATCTGGCTGAGTGCAGCTGTTGGCTTTTCTCAGGGGTTAGTTGTAGCATTTGCAGCCTTCCTCGCAGAAGTATGCCGGAGTACTTCCTCTTCGTGGGCAACCCTGGCGTAGGAAAGAGCACGATCTTGAACGGCCTCATCTCGGAACTGAGGTTCAAGTCCGGCTTCAGCCCTGGCCAGGGGATGACTTCGGTACTTCAATGCGAAGAAAAAGGCGGCAAGTTTTACATGGACACTCCGGGCTTAGCCGACGTGGAGAAGCGAAGGATTGCGGCGAAAGAGATCGAGAAGGCGCTGAAACAGGACGGCGACTACCGGATCTTCTTTGTGTTGACGCTGGAATCAGGGCGAGTGCGCCCGCAGGACAAGGCCACCATGGAACTGGTGCTGCAGGCCGCGCCCTGCATAGGCCACAAGTACGGCATCCTCTTCAACAAAGTCAGCAAGCGGGCAGTGGCCGAATTTTTGGAGAACCCCTCTCGTGCTGACCCTAGTCCGAGAGACGTCCTGCTGACGCACCTGTTCAGCGGCAACCTGCCCGTCACGACAGCGATTCACTACAACCTCAAGGACGATGACCTGGAGGATGCTATGAATGTGGTGAAGCCATTGAAGCCAGAGCTGGTCCGGTTCATCCAAGGCCTGCCTGCGATCCACATACATTCTAGCCAAGTACGGGAGATCAAAGCTGATCAGTATGAGCAGATGATGGAGGCCATGGAGAAGAAAATGGCCAAGATGCAAGAGGACAACGCGGCCTTGTTAGCTGAGCTGGCACGTGTGCGAGAGCAGTTAGCCAATGCAGGAGGCGGAGGCTGCTGCTTGCTATGACTTGGTAGCGGGGGCGTGCAAGAGACCGCTTCCATGCAGCAGGATGTTGACGTGAGTATATAAGTCTGACCGAGTGAGTCGCACTCGTCGAAAAGCTTTGCTAGCTGGGCATGATGCTTTGTATGCTCACCCCGAGTGGCGCACTGCTGGCTCGTCTCCTTCCTTGTTCACCGCCACTGATGATCGAAGGCAGCCGTCGTGGCCACAGCGAGACCGAACGTTGCCGGCCAGTGTGTCGCTCAGCGGGCTGCGAATCGGGG